TAGTGAGGAAGCCAATGATAATGATCATGAAACTTCAGATCAAGATACTACTGAACCTCGTAGATCAACCAGAGTAATATCCGCACCAGAGTGGTACGGTAATCATGTTCTGGAAGTCATGTTACTAGACCATGATGAACCTACGAACTATGAGGAAGCAATGATGAGCCCAGATTCCGCGAAATGGTTTGAGGCCATGAAATCTGAGATATGATCCATGTATGAGAACAAAGTTTGGACTTTGGTTGACTTGCCCGATGATCAGCAAGCAATTGAGAATAAATGGATCTTCAAGAGGAAGACGGACGCTGATAGTAGTGTTACTATCTACAAAGCTAGAATTGTCGCAAAAAGGTTTTCGACAAGTTCAAGGTGTTGACTACGATGAGATTTTCTCACTCGTATCTATGCTTTAGTCTGTCCGAATCATGTTAGCAATTGCCGCATTTTATGAAATCTGGCAAATGGATAAACAAAACTGCATTCCTTAATGGATTTATTAAAGAAGAGTTGTATATGATGCAACCAGAAGGTTTTGCCAATCCTAAAGGTACTAACAAAATGTGCAAGCTCCAGCGATCCATCTATGGACTGGTGCAAGCCTCTCGGAGTTGGAATATACGCTTTGATGAGTTGATCAAAGCATATGGTTTTATACAGACTTTTTGAGAAGCCTGTATTTACAATAAAGTGAGTGGGAGCACTACAGCCTTTCTGATTAGTATATGTGAGTGACATATTGTTGATCAGAAATGATGTAGAATTTTTCTGCAAAGCATAAAGGAGTGTTTTAAAGGAGTTCTTTAAAAGGAAAAGACCTCAGTAAAAGCTACTTACATATTGAGCATCAAGATCTATTGAGATAGATCAAGACGCTTGATAAGATTTTCAATGAGTACATACCTTGGCAAGATTTTGAAATAGTTCAAAATGGAACAGTCAAAGAAAGAGTTCTTACCTGTGTTGCAAAGGTATGAAATTGAGTAAGACTCAAATCCCGACCACAGCAGAAAATAGAAAGAGAATGAAAAGTCATTCCCTATGCCTCAGTCATAGGTTCTATAAAGTATGCTATGCTATGTACCAGACCTATTGTATACCTTGCTCTGTACTTGGCAAGGGAGTACAATAGTGATCTAGGAGTAGATCACTGGACATTGGTCAAGAATATCCTTAGTAAGGACTAAGGAGATGTTTCTCGATTATGGAGGTGATAAAAGAGTTTGTTGTAAAAAATTACATCAGTGCAAACTTTTACACTGATCCAGATGACTCTAAGTCTCAATCTGGATACATATTGAAAGTGGGAGCAATTAGCTAGAGTAGCTCCGCACAGAGCATTGTAGACATAGAATATTTGCAAAATACATACGGCTCTGAATGTGACAGACCCGTTGACTAAGCTTCTCTCACGAGCAAAACATGATCGCACCTTAGTACTCTTTGGATGTTAATCACATAGCGATGTGAACTAGATGACTCAATCTAGTAAAACCCTTTGGGTGTTGATCACATATCGATGTGAACTATGGGTGTTAATCACATGGTGATGTGAACTATTGCTGTTAAATCACATGGCGATGTGAACTAGATTATTGACTCTAGTGCAAGTGGGAGACTGAAGGAAATATGCCCTAGAGGCAATAATAAAGTTATTATTTATTTCCTTATAATCATGATAAATGTTTATTATTCATGCTAGAATTGTATTAACCGGAAAAATAATACATGTGTGAATACATAGACAAATAAAGTGTCACTAGTATGCCTCTACTTGACTAGCTCGTTAATCAAAGATGGTTATGTTTCCTGACCATGAACAATGAGTTGTTATTTGATTAACGAGGTCACATCATTAGTTGAATGATCTGATTGACATGACCCATTCCATTAGCTTAGCACCCGATCGTTTAGTATGTTGCTATTGCTTTCTTCATGACTTATACATGTTCCTATGACTATGAGATTATGCAACTCCCGTTTGCCGGAGGAACACTTTGGGTGCTACCAAACGTCACAACGTAACTGGGTGATTATAAAGGAGCATTACAGGTGTCTCCAAAGGTAGATGTTGGGTTGGCGTATTTCGAGATTAGGATTTGTCACTCCGATTGTCGGAGAGGTATCTCTGGGCCCTCTCGGTAATACACATCACATAAGCCTTGCAAGCATTACAACTAATATGTTAGTTGTGAGATGATGTATTACGGAACGAGTAAAGAGACTTGCTGGTAACGAGATTGAACTAGGTATTGGATACCGACGATCGAATCTCGGGCAAGTAACATACCGATGACAAAGGGAACAACGTATGTTGTTATGCGGTCTGACCGATAAAGATCTTCGTAGAATATGTAGGAGCCAATATGGGCATCCAGGTCCCGCTATTGGTTATTGACCGGAGACGTGTCTCGGTCATGTCTACATTGTTCTCGAACCCGTAGGGTCCGCACGCTTAAGGTTTCGATGACAGTTATATTATGAGTTTATGAGTTTTGATGTACCGAAGGAGTTCGGAGTCCCGGATGAGATCGGGGACATGACGAGGAGTCTCGAAATGGTCGAGACGTAAAGATCGATATATTGGATGACTATATTCAGATATCGGAAAGGTTCCGAATGATTCGGGTATTTTTCGGAGTACCGGGTAGTTACGGGAGAAGTAATGGGCCTTGATGGGCTTTAGTGGGAAGAGGAAATAGGCTGCTGCGCCCCCCCTCCCCTTTGGTCCGAATTGGACTAGGGAAAAGGGGGCCGGCCACCTCTCCTTCTCCTCCTATTCCTTCTCCCTTCCTCCCCTCTTGGTGGACTCCTACTAGGACTTGGAGTCCTAGTAGGACTCCCTATCCTGGCCGCACCTTTGCCTTGGCCGGCCTCCTCCTCCTCCATCCTTTATATACGGAGGCAGGGGCACCTCTAAACACACAAGTTGACACAAGTTGATCCACGTGATCGATTCCTTAGCCGTGTGCGGTGCCCCCTGCCACCATATTCCTCGATAATACTGTAGCGGAGTTTAGGCGAAGCCCTGCTGCTGTAGTTCATCAAGATCGTCACCACGCCGTTGTGCTGACGGAACTCTTCCCGACACTTTGCTGGATCGGAGTCCGGGGATCGTCATCGAGCTGAACGTGTGCTCGAACTCGGAGGTGCCGTAGTTTCGGTGCTTGATCGGTTGGATCGTGAAGACGTACGACTACTTCCTCTACGTCGTGTCATCGCTTCCGCAGTCGGTCTGCGTTGGGTACGTAGACAACACTCTCCCCTCGTTGCTATGCATCACATGATCTTGCGTGTGCGTAGGAAAATTTTTGAAATTACTACGAAACCCAACACTTCTGCCTCCCGTCTTGGTTTTCTGTTCGAGGGACAACATGATGAGAATCATTTTCATGTTTATATCTGGAGCATGATGACGTTCGAAATGGCAGTTGAATCCTTTCCGCGTTGTTAATTTGATTTGGCTGGCTCATTCACTCTGAAATTGTGGATTGGATTTTCTGCCTCCCGTCATGGTTCGTTGTTCGAGAGGACAGCTTGATGGCGGATCTTTTTTTGATGTTTTATCTAGAGTATGATGACGTTCAAAATGGCTGTTGACATGTTGGAATTGACCCAAACAATTAAATTTGGGAACCAAATTTAATCGGGGTTGTTATTTCAGTCATTTTACATTCTGTTTTACAAGCTGGACTGCTAGAACTTTCGTACCTGAACTTCTGTGCTCTAAGTAGATGCTAGACTTCAGTAGATGGTTGTTATTTTTGATCATCCACTATCTTCAGTAGATGCTGGACTTCTTTCTAATTAATGGTTGAACTTTTGGTTTTCCATCCTCCTGCCATGGCAACCAAGTCTAAAATCAAAAGAAGTTGAGATTCTGGCAAGCTACAGAGTTCTCACCTCTCTGAACAAAAGATTAGATTTGTGCACCTAAAAATGTCCCCGGTAAGTTCACTTGTGCGATGTCTTCCACCCTGATCCTCACTCGGCATGAATCTGGTTGTTGAGGTACATGCAGTTTTCCAAAGTTTGCTCATTCTATATGTGCATGCTTACTGGAGATGCAAGTTACGAGACTGCAAAAGCATCAGCTCTCATACAGGAGCTTTGCTAGTGCCACGAGAGTGCTTCTTCATTTTTTATATTCAAATAAAATAGTACTACTTCTACGTGTGTTTGCTTTCTTCCAGTGAGATAGCTAACGCGGTGACCGTCCACGGGTCCGTGCGTGCGTGCTTGCTTTTAACCGTAAGAGCACGGATGTACAAATACCGAAATCAAAACTTCAAAATATACTAATGTTTTAAGCTTATTTAAAAACATTTTTTTCCTAAATAAGACTAAGATGTTAAAATTAAAATAACAGAGAAGTTCAATAGAAAAAACATTGGTCTAAAACATCATGTTGTACAGTTTCTTGTTCCGTAATATTTCTTGAAGTTCAACGGTATTTATGGATGCAAAGAAAAGAGTACTTCTTTCTAATTAATGGTTGAACTTCTGGTTTTCCACATTGCATTCCACATTTGCAAGGCGAAGGTGCATGCTGCTATATATTTTCTTTTTTAACAATCCCGGAACATGTTCTTTTGATTACATAGGATGCGTTTACAACTTAGTAATTTACCACAAAATCACCCATTGCACTTATAAGGCGTCTGTGACACCGTTCATGAAAACGAAATAGATATATCGACGATGATCGTGGAAGTCTTTTTTTTTTGGAAAAGGAGGCAAAATCCCCGGCCTCTGTATCAATCGATGCATGCATCCATCTTATTAACAATGAAATAACAAAGTGTTAGGGTCACCAGGATCCCATAAACAAAGTGCGAAACAAAATAAAACCAAAGGATTGCCGAAGCCTGAAACACGACATTTTTATGGAACGGAAGGTGCTGCATATGGTGCGTGATGGATCACTGTGCTTGTCCAAGAAGACCAAGAGATTGCTTTTTCATAGTTGAAGCAGCTTGGGCCTGCGGTGCAGACAAATGCTACTCCTCCACACCCTTGCGGATGGAGTCGCTGTCCTGGTAGTCGTCGCGGAAGGTCTCGAGGTTGTCTACCATGTTGGCGAGCGTCGACATCAGCAGCTCTTGACGCCATTTCTCCACACCTGGGAAGTCGCAGTACTTACATCCGAACTCATTCTTGTACTGCAGACCAAAGAAAGAAACAATATATTAGGAGTAAAAATACCTACCAAGACTTTCTACATATCCTACGAAAATCCCTCCTCCCCTAATATTAGGGTGGACCTGTGTAGACCCCCTCAGCGCTCCGTAATCGTTTGTTCGTATGTGTAGAAACACCAAGGCAATCTCTTAATCAATTACTCCCTCCGTTCCGAATTACTTGTCTTAGATTTGTCTAGATACGGATGTATCTAGCGTTAAAATGAGTCTAGATACATCCATATCTAGACAAATCTAAGACAAGTAATTTGGAATGGAGGGAGTAGATAGGTACTCCCCGTCCGTATCTAAATATAAAACGTTTTTGTAGGCTAGTACAAGTACATGAGAACATCTGAGATGCTCGAACAGATTCTATATAGTGGTTACTATGGGGCTGCCTATTACCAAGTCACATGAGAAAACCTTCTGCGTAATCATTTTCCACGAGGACCACTAGATCTTCATCCAATGACCGGAAACATATCATGTATTATTTATCTTCTTTCTCCCCTCCTTCCTCCTCCACGCGCCGCCAACCGGCCTAGCCCCAATGGCATGCCTCTAAACCCCCTGGCTGTCTCCCGCCGGTGGGCACTGCTGTGCGCCACCTCCCCACCGCCAATGCTTGCCGTCGCCACGACCACTTATATAAGCACGGGCAATGTGCAGAAACTTCGACGGCCCTTACAACCCCAAGAACCGCATCCGTCAACCTGCTTTTTGTCTCCGCCTAAGACGTTGTAGCTTGCTGCCAGTCGCAGCATCGTCCCCGTCTCCGTGAGGTCCAGCCTCGGCATGAGCGTAGTTGACGCTCGTCATGTTGCTATTCTCTTCACCCCCCGCATTCATCCTCGGGCAAAGCAAAAATCAACTAACGCCGTTACTATTTGTGAGTAATACCGTGATGTCAAACAAGCTGACGCCGTGGGTGAACTTCTTGGGCACGCCAGCGATATCCCTGGCGTGGTAAAACTCCTCCACGGATCGCATCATCACCTCCTCTGGCGGCAGCGTCCTCTTGCCAGATAGCACATGCGCCACCCATTTCGCTTGAGCCTCGAAGAACCAAGGAGCAAATACCTGCAAACCATATAAATGCAGTTATGGTTTTGGTACGTGCCGGAAAGAAAAGGCGTACTAATGCAACATCCCTAACTTGCTCTCTCCTACAGGTTCACGTACCTTTTTGGGTATACCGATGAAGGAGAGTGATGGCGCCAGCGTCGGCGGGAACACGTGCTCGAACAGCGGGCCCACGCGGTTGTCGTCGTTGGTGACCGCTCCCTCGGTATCCAGGAACGGGAAAGCGTAATTATACCCTGTGCAGTAGATGACCGTGTCGGCGAGGACACTGGAGCCATCGCCGAACACCACCCGCCCGTCCGGGCACAGGCGCTCCACCTAACGTTGCCAGATGTACGGATCAATCATTTCGTGCATGCATGCATGTGGAGTGGAGATCGACATGACCACTGGAGCAATAAGTGTACGGAATGAACATACTTTAAGTGTCAACAACGCTTTTATATTATGGGACGGAGGGAGTAGTAGAGTACGTACGTGAAGTTGTAGGTGAAGGCTAACGCTATGCTTGGCGAGCACCTTGGCGAGCCCTTGGGTTACCTCCTCCATGGATTTGGCGACGAGATGCACCTCCTTGGCCACCCCGCGGACCTCCATGGCGATCTCCATGCCGCTGAGGCCGCACCCCACCACCACCACCACCTCGTCGCGGAACTGTTCCGGCACCCTGTACGAGTGGCTGTGCATCTGCCTTCCCCTCCACACTTGCATGCCTTTGATTGTTGGTAATATTGGCTGCGAGTAGTGGCCATTGGCGACGACCACGGCGTCGAACACCTCCTCCTCCTCCTCGGTACCATTGCACTTGCCGAGATCGACGGAGCTCACCGTCCACTGCCGCGTCGGAGTCGGACCCGGCGCCAAGGCAACACGCGCAGCACTGGTGTTGAGCCTGACGAGCTCTATGAGCCCGAAGGCATCGCAGAAGTCCGGGAAGCGGCGGCTGTCACGGCCGTCCTTGGGCTTGGGCGCGAAGGGGAAGTCGGTGAAGCCCATGGTCTCCCGGGCGCTGATGAGGCGGAGGGATGCGTACAAGCTGCTATGCACCTTTACCGGCTCCGAGGCGCCGAGAGGGTCAGTGCCGTCGACCCTCGGGTCGTACAGCCACTGCCCGCCCACGTCGCCGCGCTGCTCCAGCACCATCACGTCCTGGCCCTCCCGTCGCAGCTCGCGGGCTGACGCGAGCCCGGCCATCCCGGCCCCGATCACGCATACCTTCTTCCGCTGCGATGGCGCCTCGATGCCGTTGCCGACCATGTCCGTTTTCAAGATGCCGCGCGGTGGGGAGGGTGAGTGAATTATTTGATCTTGTCAATGGTACCGTTTGCCTCAATGTATGCGCACTCCACCCACCGCGCTGTAGAATGTTTGGGCTGCGCTGTAGAATGTTTGGGTGGTGCAGTGCATGCATGAGCGCATGTCCCCCAGCTTATGCGCATTCTCAGCCGATCAGATCAGCCACTCTACCCGCTGCATGTGCCGTACAATGTTTGGGTGGTATAGTGCATGCACGAGTGTATGTCCCCGTGTTATTTAAGAGAAAAATACTACTCTCATCGTCCCATAATATAAGAGCGTTTCCAAAAGATTTGATGTAGTAAGAGCGTTATTGACACGCTCTTATATTATGGGACGGAGAAAGTATATTATTAGCTGGTATGACCGATAGACCAAAAGATTTGATGTAGTAAGAGCGTTTTGACACACTCTTATATTATGGGACGGAGGAAGTATATTATTAGCTGGTATGACCGACAAACCAAAAGATTTGATGTAGCCAAATGTTATATTTCGGATAGCCGGGTTTTATACACAAATAAGCCGAGTATCGCAAATAAAGCACGTGGCATAAAGTAGATTCTCAGCATATCACGGGCCAAGCTGAGAAAAATAAAAATAAGCTGAGAAAAATAAAAGAAAAACTCTCGGTGTACACCAAGCACTCGGCTTATCGAGGAAAAAGTACTCGGCCTATAGACGAGCCTTAGCACTGTGGCTGCCACGTGGCCATCCTCCGTGCTCCTCATGTCTTCGTGCCGGTGGTCTATGTAAGTCGAGTACCCACAAACGGCGCACGCGGCTTATATTTTTCCTTTTTTTACACCGCTCGTCGCTTCACCTTCCTATATGCAAAGTGTACGAAAATAAGCACTCTACACACTATGCTGGAGGAAATTGGGCTGGTGCAGTGCATGCATGAGTGGATGTCCCCCGATTATTTAAGAGGAAATATTTTTGCCTCAAGTGGGCCTGGTTGAGTGGATATGGGGTGAAAACCATGTTGTGCAACATTTTTGTCTCCTGTATTGCATTGCAGAGCAGCTATGTGTTGCGTGTGTGCTTTGGGGGTGATCAGAAGCAAAACACATTTGTTTGGTTGCATCCAAAGTGTTGTTGTGCTCACCCCTTTAAAATGTGGTGAACTTACCACCACTAGCAAGCAGAGAGCACATGAGATGAACACAATATATTAAAGACGATTAACACAACCATTACCATGTACCAAGCACAAACTTATAGGGGAGGTTTATGAAAGATGCCCTTGCACAACATTGACAAAAGGTAGACAAGTTTGATAGGAAAACATGTCGCTACTTCACAATACTTGTTAGGTTCAGATTTATGAGGACTACAAGATCGCCAGGTCTAGGTCAGCTGGCCCATAACGGACGTGTTTATGGCATCTGTAACTGCAGATCACGAAGTTGTTGGCATTGTAGATCTGGACCTGTCGGACCCGTGGGACTGGGTTTACCCAAGCCCGTCTGCCTGCGGCCCATCGTGCGGCGCATCGACTGGGCCCCCTAGGAACCCATCTCAGGCTTCAGGAACAAGCCCTTGTGAGGACCCCCTCCTCGTGAGGCGCGCTTTGCCAGGCTTCACTAGTAGCCTCGTGAGGCCCTCTCACAAGGAAGCATCCCGAGGGTGTCTCCCGAGGCCTCCCGAGGAGGCCTATGGATCAAGGAGCAAGTGCAGGAGTCAAAGTGCCCTGCGTCTTCACATGGGTGACGCTCGTGGCGATGGGCGGAGCCAGAAGGGCGCCAACAGGCGCGGAGAGGAGGCTTACCCCTTCTGGGCTAAGGGAGCAGGGCCATCCGCCAGTTCCCGAGGAAATCCCCGAAGGATACCTCTTTTGTGCAAGAAGACCAAGACGACGGGCTCGCCAGGACGGAGGTCAGCACCGAGCCCACCAGCGCGTCATGGCAGGGAGCTTTGGCAGGCGAAGACCACCTTTAGTCAGTATAAGATGTACTCTTGTTCCCCTTCAAAATTGGCCGTTGTGGCAACCCTTCCCACCTAGAGTTTTGGGGGGAAGAGGACCAGGGCCTGTATAAGTATAGGTAGTGCTCCATCATAGAGAGGCACCGGACCTTACCGGACAAGGAGGACCGATCCCGGATCTGACCTATTCCACTCGGCCCCGAGATCCATTCCAGGACCCTCCGGAGGCCACTCTTGTACTCTCATGTTCATCCTCCCCCGCGAGGCAATCCACCCACCAAAGCAGGAGTAGCGTTTTACACCGCAAGGTGGCCCGAGCCAGGATAAATTGTTGTGTCTGCTATTCTTCTTCTCTCTCGCTTGAGCACGCCGGAGCATCACCGTGAGGTAGTCGGTAAGCTAGACAGGGCTTGACGACGATCCGCGCGCACACCCCATGTAACGCCCGGATAATCATGCTACAGTAATCCCACGCTAATCATGCCACGTCACCTCGGTTACTGTTGCTAACCTCACAATGATTCGAAACTGTTTCAAAATTTAAATTCTAAACATGTCAAACAATAAAAGCTTTCAAAAGTTGAAACAAAAATGTTCGGTGGGTGCCGAATATTACAAGGGTAATTATAGTAAAGAAAACATATTTTTAGAAAGTGCCTGAATATTTTAAAATGAATTAAAACAGAAAAGAGAAATAAGGAAAAGAAAATAAAAACAAAAATTAACACTAACAACAACAAAATAAAAAAAGAAACCTCCCCTCCCACGGCCCACCGACCCACCTGGACCAGGCCGGCCCACCTGGCCCATCCGGCCTCACCCCACTCCCCTTAACCCCCGATCCACACCAAACCCTAGCCCTATCCCCTCGTCCTCCCACTTCCCCCCGATCTGGATCAGGGATCCACCCATCGCTCGCCCTGCGCGACCCCAGCGCGCCCCGCTCCGCCGCCCGTTGCCGCCCC